TTCTTTTTTTGAACTATTAAAAAAATTCAAAATAATAATTAATATTTTTTAATTATTAAATAATTATATATAATATATTTTTTCAATAACTTTTGCAATATGGCTTATATCTTGATCTTTATATTTGATAGTAAAATCGATTTTTAAGACCAATATACAAAAGCGTATTTCTGACTTTGAAAAGAGATAAATCAATAAACATATCAGCTAATTATCGAAATTGGACCAAATTTTAAGTCCCCAAATCATAATAATTTTGATTAATGTTACACCATTCTAATTAGTAAAAAAAATTTGATGATCAATTTAACAAACCCGCCCTAAAAAAAAAATAACATATAAAAACACGTGTCAAACCGATGAATACAACCAAAAACCGATGAGTTTGGGTAGTAGAAACTAGTAGAAGGCAATTGCCATCTTGCGATTTCAAATCCATAACATATTAACTGTAACTAACTTTATGTATATTGCTTTTTTATATTTTTTTTAAAAAAAATAGTATTATTAAAGTATTTTCGTGCCTTTTCAGATTACTATAACAAATACAGTTTTTATTAAAATGTCAAATACTAATACAGGTTCTATTCTACTCATAATACTTTTTGCTACATCTACATCAGAATTTTTCTGTTCTGCTTGTCAAAAAAGATTCAAAAAACAAAGTGGACTTTCACGGTATTTAATCATTGTGAAAAATTATAATATTCCACATAATGATTTAGAAAGTTTATCAGAAATAAATAATAAAAAATTTAAAAGTATCCTGGTCTATTTAATTCATCACAAATTTCCAAATGGATTTAAGAAAGGGGGTTGCCAATTAGTATCTCTTGCCTGTACTGAACATCAGTTTTTTGATATTTTTAAAGGATATATTCATCATTGTAGTAATAGAAACGTTTACAAATGTGTCTTTTAAGAAGTTGCTGGATATCAAGCATTAAGTGAAATCTTAAATAATTCATTATGGAGTCGAAGATTTTATGATGAAGAGCAACAAACTTATGTTATCCTATTTGATGATCCGCCTTAACATTTAAAAAATAATCCATTAGCTATTGCTACTTGTCGTGCTGCTAAAAGTATAATCACTAAAAGACGCAAATCTAAATATAATCCTAGAGAAGTTAATATTGAATGGAAAATTAAAGTTGAAAAAGATGCAAAGGAGAATTATTGTGAAGTGGGTTTTATATGTATGCATTTTTGGGTAAAACAAATTTAAATTTCTTTTTTTGTAACAGTTTTTTAAACTATAGATGTCAATAATTATAATAAAATTAAATTTGCCATGATGTTTTTCATTTAATTATTAAGAAAATAATTTTTATTAGAAAATTAAAAGAAATTCAAAGTTATAAGATGTGAATATGTTGAGGTTTTGAATACAAAAGGGAAATATTATTTTGATTATAAAAAAAAAGTCAGTTTTTATATTCTAAAATCTCACGAATAACTGATATTTTATTTTAAAATTTTCCACCATTTTTAAGAGTATTTTTAAAAAAATAACAAATGTGATCATGATTTTTTTTCTCAACAGTACTGCATGAAAAAGCATTCAATTCCCATCTTTGATGTTTAAGCATAAATTCCCAAACATGTGATACTAAAACATGAATATAAGAAGTTAAATCTGAAGAACAATAAAGTCCTTGTACTAAAATAATATTAGTTTCAGGATCTATTATAGTTTTCTTTAAAAATAACTCATACCATTCCTTTGCTTTTAAATGAAAATATTGTGGATCTGTTGTTTTTTCTCCCAAAAGATCATATAATTCAGCAAATCCATCCTATAGACTTTTGATTAATGTAGCACGCTCCAAATCAAAAAGTTTAGTCAAGTTAAAGTTTTGAAGAATACGAAGTTTATCATCTTCCATTAAGGAAGTATAGCTCCAATTATTAGTATCCCGTATTTTCCAAAATTCAAAATGGATCTTTAAATTTTCCATTTCTTTGATTATAATTTTTCAAGTTATATAATTAAATAATCCTTCATTTTTAATTTCTTGTAAAACTAACTCCCATAAACAATCAGTGATACGTAACATTATGTAAAGTTTATCTGCTATATAATTTTCAAGTGGAATCATATTAAAAAGTAGAGGTAATTGATGACCTGGATATGCTATTGGATTTTCATTTAAAATACTCATTGATTTACTTATTACCCATTCAATTTGTCTATCTTCACGTTGATTTTTAGCTATCTTGCATCATAGACAAAAATAATTGGAATTAGCAGCATTAAACCCTAAACAGATAGCAAGAAACTTCCAATCTGAGCTAAAGAAAAGCTCAAAATTCCAAAGAATATTATTAATAACCATTCCTATATTACTCAATTCTTGTAATTCTTGAATAAAAGTACTTGTTGCAACTTTTAAAGTTGAATAATTTTCAGTTCCTAGAAATAAGACAGTTGTATAATGATAATTGGATTTAAAAAGTTCTGTTAGATCATCTAATAATGCTACAGTAATCATCACATGTTTTACTTTTCGTCCTACATTTCTACCATCACCAGAAATTCAAAGATGAATAGTAGATATTGTAGGGTCTAATTTTTCTTTTTGAACATATATTGGCACTATATATTTAAGAATTTTTTAATACTTCAATAAGCACCTTTTCCAATTGCATTAAAAACTTATTTAATAATCAATAGATCGGTAATATCAGATTCTTCCAAAGGTTTTTGTATGATAGCAGAATTTAAATCAAAAAATCAATGGGTATTAATTTTTCTATATATGCATTAATTTCTTGACGGGTTTGAGAAATAGCATATTCTTGTGGCAATTTTGATTCTACAGCTGCAAGATGATGATATGCATCACATGGTATATTCTCTACAACTTGCACATAAGCCATTAATCTCAATTTTTATTTTTTTTAACATAATCATCTTCTCCAAACGATATATAATATTCTTTATTTTCTATAGTAAAATTTAAAGCCTTCAAAACAACACGATCTTTGGGATTGTAAAAATCTTTAATTGAATTTTTAAAATATGTTTGTTCTTTTTTTGCAAGACCTTTAGCACGTTTGATTTGTGTAGTTTTACTTAATTCTTCATGAGATTTTAATTCCTGTGGTTTACCTTTACGATTTCTATTAATACATTTTAATTGAAGTCCAAAGAGATGAACTCCAGAAACAGCAGTTCTTTTATCTGGTGTTATTATCTGATAAAATAACGTATATATTAAAATGTCTTCTTTTGCAATTTTTTTTTGAATAATAAAAATATAATAACTTACTTTATGTAATTCAACAGAAGCATCAAATGGAGATTGAGTTGAGACAACTTAGTATTGTAAATTATCTCTAAAATAAATTAAATAATGTGGATTTCCTTCTATGTAATATATAAAGCATTGAATAGTACGACAGTTACTAGCCCAGCTCTAAGTAGTTTTTATAATATAATTATCAGGTATAGGAAAATAATTAGGTGCTTCAGTATAATTCAATTGCATAACTGGTGGGTAGTCACTTTCTTGAATAACAATATAATCAAATTTTCGGTCACTATAGTATATTATTTTAGGTAAGAAAGGGTAGTTTTCTGCCTTATAAGGTCTTTGCTTGGAATTTGACATTGAAAATAACAAAGTTATACTAACGTTATAGATGCCTGCCGAAACCTCCTCAAAATAATTTCGTCATACCCTTTTCTATGTTTTTAATATAGTTTTGACAGTTTCGGCTTTCGTCGTATCAAAAGGGTTTCGTCGTATCCCTTATTATGATTTTAATATAGTTTCGTTTAAGTTTCGACTGTTATTAAGGGTTTCGTCTCTCATCATTAGTCCAGGCATATTTAATGATTATATGTGATTACGGATAATAAATAAGATTTATAGTAATTTTAGTGATATATAGCATTTTTTAGCGAATATTTCTTGTTATAGCAGTTTGTAGCAAGTATATTATAATAAAATATTGGATTCATTTTTTTATTTGATTACAAGCATATTATCAGAGGTTTATATAAGGTTCACATCCAGCTGTGTACATATTCACATGCATGTAAGGGATTTTCTAATGGCATAATAGCTAATCAGAGGTGTATGATGTATATTGTATCACAGGAATCAGGCGCTTTGCATGTGGGCAAAAATAATTTATTAAATACTTTATATGTTTACAATGTTTTCAAAACTACATATAAATTGATTATCAAAGAATCTTTTTCATTACATTCATGGTATATATGTTTGCAGGTACAGTAAATGAGGCCCAGTAAGCATGTGATAGTTACGTTGGTGTCAACTCGAAGGGATGCGATTGGTATTAGAGAAATATTCTATAATATTATGAATTTGTGTGAAGGTTAGCTTTGAAATGTAATCCGCACTATATGATTTAACTCGCTTGATTTTTGACATTCCTATCCCCCTAATTTCTTCACGAGATGTGGGATGACAGTTCTGTTCAAACAACTTATAGATATTCTTAGCTTTGGTGGTCTTCTTATGCAAACTATCTTTTGTAAAGCCAGGTAAATGTTATGCAACTTCTTCATATACTTAGATTCTAGCTTGTTGATCATTAAGCATGCTATTACTATTCATGATCTCCTTGACTCTTTTTTCAAAGCTTTCTGAGAATCGATACCAACACAAAATTTTATCTTGGTTGGCCTTCATGACATGCTTTTCCGTGAGACTTGCTTTTTTATATAATCGAGCCAAATTTTGTGAAATAGATCCCCCACCCTCTTCACTATCATTTTCTTTTTCAGGTTCTCTAGGTATAGACAATTCTTGCAACAAACCTTGTACCTTGTCCTGTTCGTAAGAAATTTTGGAAGATGATTCCCTTGATGACTGAATTTGTGCATTGTCAGTATTGTCCTCAGCTGTTTAATTAGTTAAATTATCTGCAGAACTTTCCACATCTATAGTAAGACTTGTTATTTGATCATGTGTAATAGTTTTAGTTATTTTTTCCCCTTGATCCGCAAGAGAATCATCGTCTATTAATCCTAGGTCAAGCAAAAGTTCTGATTCACCTCTTACAGTATCATCACTTAGGGGCCTTTTTTCCTGAAATCCTTATCCTTAGATACCATGTAATATTCACCAGAAGCTAGTATAAGTTTCTCGTTAACAAGTTTGATAGGTGATATACAACTAGAAATAGGACATAAAGGAAAACGCATTTCTGATCATATAATATGTTTTTCAAGACATATTTGATGGTATATATATCTACATAATAATACTGTGAATGAATGAAGTGGTAAGATAAGAATTCCTTCATTGCAGAAGTGGCAAGGATTAAGTTTCAGGATATATTCATCAGTTATTTCAGAAGTGTTTCTTAGGAAATTTAATGAAAGTGCTTTAAGTTGAAAAACCTCTGTATCATCCGCATGGATTTCTGAAGGACTTGCTAGTATTTTGCTAGCCATACTGTTAAATCATAAAGATTTCTCGCCCTTTTCCCCTTACATAAATATTTTTCATATATTAAGACTAAAACGAAATTAGCTTTATCCCGAGAATTTATTTCAGAAATGAACGTCTCAGAAATGAGCATCACGGAATGAAGATCACGAATAAATTAGAACTAATGATGAAAAGATATGTCACAAAAAAAAGACTACTATACTCCCAGTTAAGGCTACGATCGTTGTAAAATATGAAAGCTCCTAAGATAAATATGGTAATCCCTCTTTCGATCAAAGATCTTCAGGAGAAATGTTTTCTGATTATTTCTATACATCAACTTCAAAAAATCAGGATCATGTGTTTTTTCCTGATCTGAGGTCAGCGAAAATTGCCAAGAAAAATTTGTATGACTAAAATTTCAGCCAGGACACCCCTGTCGAAAAATAGTCATAGGAAAAAAGGTGCAGAAAATGTTTTATTTTTCTGAGCGATGATCACTGCTCTGAACTGCTTAGCTTAGAAGAACAATCATCTTTTTGCGCAAACTCTAGCTCCTGTGCCAATCTATCCAATGTTAATTTAAAACTAATTATATAGGATTCTTATCGAAATTCAGGTGCAATACCTGCTAGAAACACCTTTTTAATATTTTTATTTGCATTTTCTATAATTTCATCTAAACTTTCCATATTGTGCAAATTGATATTAAATCCCATACTTTACTATATGAGCCTATATCTTTAATTGAAAAAATATTATTCCCCCTTGTTCTATCGAACTGCGAAAGAGGGTATTTGCCATCCAACCCTTCTCTTTCTCTTAGAATCGAATAATAAAATGCCTCTACTAGATTGTAAAATTCATTTGGAATATCAATATTATTTGGATATTTTCTGATCGAATCTATACTGATATTAGTAGATAGAACCATTTTAGCTGATGCCTTAGTCGCTGACATTGCGTTCTCTGCATTTTTAAAAAGTTCATACAGAATTAGTACTTGTATAAGATCATCAATATATTCTCTGTTGTGTATATCATAGACTGGGTCATGCTGAAAACTATTATTAGATAAATGTTCAGCTATCATCTTTTCTATAACTGAATATTTATCGCATCAGGAAAAAAAAATAAACTGAATATTTATCATGCCTAAACAAAATCTAAAATATTATGTTAGCGCTATAACCAGCGTCTTTCTGCTTGCATATATGTGTTATTCACTAGACGACTAGATTGCCATTGCTCTAAGCATTTGTTCTATTTCATCATCTGACCTTTCATGATTCTCTTCCTTGGCTATATCATAATAAAGCTCATATAATTCCTCTAGGCTAGCACACAGATCATTATCCATATACCTTTTGCGATAATTTTTTAGCCTTAGAGTGTATGCTTCTTCGTTGGGAAACATCTTGACTGCATTTGTCTTAATATAGTCATTCAGATTCTTTTCAGCTCGTAATTTCTTTAGATAGTCTCCATAGTTTTTTGCAAGATTATCATATTTTTTGCCCTTTCACAATGCAGTTTTTATGACTTTGACTTGCGTAAGTTCTATATCCTTATGATCAACCATTTTGTATTGTTTCTACTATAACAATAGAAAAACTTTAATTAATAAAATTATATTCTTTAATAATTTTTATTCAGAAAAAATATTTGTTATAAAGCATCTATTCCTTGACTCAAAGTCTAATTTTCATAGCCTTTTCTTCTGCTTCCTCAGGAGATATTTCAGATGCTACCAGGCATTTGTATAATCCAATTCACCAATGTCCATATGGGAGAGTTCGAATTCCATAAAGTAAGATCCAGCGCTTGTTATCATATGGATTCAGCCCTATCTTATTTACCTCTCCAGATATATTTGATGATTATAACTGCGTAGACCATACATATCATGCTGGATTAGTTTCTTGTTCCTAAGACATTCTAGGAACTTATCATGTCGAAACTCTCTTTTGACCACGCATTTCTTTACACCCTTTGCCTTTTGGATACCATGCTTTTTCTCCCAATACTTTATACCCTGAGATTTTCTAAATTCTTCTTTTTCTAACTCTTTTTCAAAATCTGCATCTGTTTCAGGAGTTTTAGAATCATGGCCTACTGGAAGAACTGAATACATTTTTGGCTTTAAGCATACTGATTCGCCTATTGGATCCCCTTTTGTCTCATTCTTCATTAGAAATAAGTCTCCTGAATAGTTAAGATTAAAAATGTCCGGTCTTTCTGCTCAATTTTTATAGATATCCTCAGTTTCTATTCATATGATAAGTGAGTCTGTATCTGTATAAAGTAGACGGGCCTTTTCTTTATAGTGAGGCTTTATATGACCATACTAAAAGTTGAACATCATAGCCTTGCTAATGTCAAGAATTGCCTGCCCTACATAAATTGGTTTGTTTAGAGTTACTGTACTTTTTAACATATAGACTGCCATAATTCCCCCTTCAAATGCTTTAAAGCCTACATACAATGGTGAACTTGCTAGGCGTCTGATTTTTTTATCCTCTTCTGTTCAGAGTAATTCTACTCTCATATGTTTACGAACATTTTCCATTTGTTTGCCAAAGACTGCATTATTCTTTATCTTATAATACATGACTCCAAATTCATCCCCATTTGCCTTGGCTATTTTGCGTTTACGAATATTTTCCTCAATATATTCCTTCATTCATAGAGATTGTCTAAACTTAAGAGCGCTATGAATCTTTATTACCTTTATTCCAAACTTTATATATGTTTGAAGAGCTTGATAGTGAACTACATAATTGTTCTTAGTAAAAAGAGTCTGAACTAGCTTCTCTCCAGACAAGTATTTACCTCCTCTAATATTTTTATCTTGTACTAATCTTTTATTATACAAGCTAAACCAATCTTCTGGAACTATTTGCTTTTCTGGAGTTAATGGATAATCTGCAAAGTAATCGTGCAAGTATACTGAAATTTCTAGATCAACTTCAAGTGTATAACTTATATCTGCATCAGGTGCGATGCTTTGGATATCTGGTACTTCCTCTGAATCTACCTTACCCAAGATTTCTATAGGCATGTATTGGGTCATCGTACCTGAATATAAGGCATTTATATCTTCATATATAATCCAGGACTTTGACTTGCTAGACTCATAATCTGGACATTGTGGATTATTTACTTTAGCATATGGGGTCTTTGCAATAGAAAGGGAGGAAACTTAAAAAAAAATAAAAAATGAGTTAATAATAAATCTGAACAAA